AGTTATGAATCTTTAAAAAAGAAAAAGACGTGTAGGTGGCGCCCCCTACGAGTAAGAGCAATAAGAACATCAGGTTCGAATTCGACACCTCAAAAACCTCCTATTACCAAGTTTCGTTTAATTAAGTTCAGTATTTCAAAAGTTATTTGAAAAAAACGAAAATAAAAATAAAACTTCAACTTCCTGTATCTTGAAAACGAAGCGTTTCCGGACATTTATTTATTTGGACAATTCATATCAGAATATTGTGAGGAATCACCTCCTGAAGTTTGTCAAAGTACTTTTGAATCGCTCTGTATACCTACATTCATTAATACCAACTACATAAACTTCAAACTGTGAATAATTGCGTTGTCATCTTTATAAATTCAAAAGTGGAGACCTACACAAATCTGTTTGTTCGTTAAGGGTTCTATATTTTGAGTTTTCAATTGATTTATTGATTTACATGGCTTCCAACAAATTCATTTTCCTTCCTTTACTACATGTATGTAAGATTTTGAGGTTTTCCTTACTTTGGTTTGTTTCTTGTAGATGTTCGTATGTAGAAGATTTTTTTGTCTAAACCGGCGTGTACACGGAGTCTTACTTCGAAATTTCTACCGGTCTGGCCTGTATATACTACAGAGCATCCACTACATTCTATTCTATTCTATATATGCCAGATTTCTTCATTCTGTCACGTCTAGGTTTTGCATTAAATATGAATTTGCCTAAATTATTAGGCAAAATTATTATGATGGGAGACATAAAAAAGCGGAGGAATTGAGTGGGATGTTATCCTCAAGAAATCCGGTATCTATTGAGAAATTTTCCGATAGCGGCTTTGTAAAGTGAGCATTGAATTTTTTCCTCTAATATTTTGCCCGTATATTATATACTGTTTTCAACTAAAATCAGTTCATGTTTATTGGATTGTTTCTTTTGTAGGTCATTAATAATTCTCCAGGTTGCTTTAGACTTGTTCTGTGCATTGATAACCAATTCATCATTATATTTCCTATTCATAGATTGTAGTTCTTCTCTGTTCATATCCGTGTGTGTTCGTCACTAATATTTTACTTTGTTGGGAACAAAGGTTATGGCTTTTTACTTCTCTATGTTTGAACAAAAAAATTAGGGAAACTTCAAAAATGATTTCTCCTTTCAATTTAATATTTTACTATATTTAACAAGACTGAAGATTTTTAAACCTCATTAATGAAAGTATCTCTATTTTTGCAGAGTATAAACATTTTTATTATCATCCTTATTATATTTTTGGATTATGAAAGGGTAATGAAGCTAAAAATAATAAATGAATGAATCAATAAATAACTATATGTTTTCATTCCTTTTGTCAAATTTCACCTCATTTACTATTGGTAGATTTGTTTACGAAATTAAATAAGCATTTACTATTATCACATTTCTGTAATACAGATCCATATAATTATTTTTTGGAATACAAGGCATATTTTCATGAAAGTAGTTCTTGGTGTTGTAATTACTACTTTTCTTCTGCCAAAACTAGATTTGACTGTTTGAGAATTTCTTTTCAAATCATCTAAAAGAACAATTCGATCAGGCCAGTCTAAACACCCTACACAGTAGGTTAATGGACTGACACCTATCAGAAAACAACTACTCCCCTGGCTAATACCACGAAGGGCGTTGGATTATATCCGACAGGTGTCAGTGCAGGATTCTTCACAGAAGTTATTCCTGCATATGCTGTTGGCGATACAACTGCCGCAATAGATTTTCAATTATTGGAACACACTTGCAGACCGGTTTCGGGCTGTTTGGCCACTCGTCAGTGCAAGGTAGTGTATATCATCAACATAAAGTCGATGATTTCCGATAATTGAAAATCGAATTCCGTCAGAGTATCATTCCTCGAACTAAGCTGAAGACTACATCAAACAACAGGTTTGTCGTCGCCCCATCTGTCTGTGAACGAGGTAACCAACTGCATATCCGAAATTTGCCCAATTCCTATAAAAGGAAAGAAATCTTCGTGGTATTAGCCTGGGGAGTAGTTGTTTTCTGATAGGTGTCGAGACTGATCTGAACGAATTGTTCTTTTAGATGATTTGATTTATAGCCAGTCTTCAAGTATGCCCACTGACTATACGTGAAAAATTTCTTTTCAATTGAAACTTCGTGAAAGTTCAATAATGTAAATATTGTTACTGACTCTACTAATATACTTCAACTATTTGCTGATATTAAAAAAAAATTAACTGCTCACTAAATACAAGAAGAAGAACAAAAAGTGTTATGTGTCTATGTACTTGATTTCAATTTTTTAGTGTCAACGACATCGACTACTTTAGGTCTGACGGCTGTAGTGTCTTGGGTATTTGTAACCCAAGATATCAGCTCAAACTGCCAGCAAGGCAAAGTTTACAGTTCACAAAACCGATACAATATTGAATTTGAAATAGTTCAACAGTAATAAAGAATTCCTAATGAGAAAAAATCCTGTTCGTTGATGCTTATAACTATATCTTCATCAACATTGACTATGAACACGCCTAAGGCAGTTATTCTGTAGCAAAACACGTGGTGGGGTTTTGTAAACTGAAGTATTACGTGAATATTTTGATCAAGAATCGGCCAATCGTGTCACATAACTTACCTGTATGTTTTCCCTTCACTACAAGAGTGTCCGCCATATCCCAAAGATCTTGATAAGAAAGGAGATATGTAAATTGTTGATTCTGTTTGAACATGGCGTTATATACAGAGAGCGGTACCCACAACCCGGCGTTTTGAGCTTGTGTAGTGATTGGCACGTTGCCGCGAGTTGCCAATTCACCGCTGTTGTAACCTGACGATTGACTACCCACTGAACCGACCGAACCCGCTGGGGAAGGGGTCGGAGATAGAGGGGATGGAGTACCCTGACCCTGCTGGTGGTTTTGCGGGTCTTGAGGAACGATAGCACCTTGATTCTGAAAAATAAAAAGTTCAAATAAGGTCTTTGTTAGGTTACAAAGTTAAAACAATAGAAGAGCATCACAGAAAAACTTGGATTTTTTAGCCATGTAATTTCTCAAACATACATTAGAAAATATATTACGAGGATTTCCATCTATCTAATATAGGTGGTGTGGTAACTGTTTTAAGCTATTTTCCAGGTTTTTTGGCTGAGATCTGGCAAACGTTTTGGCTACAAAATAGCTAATATCTATTGAAATAATTTTTCTTACCTTACTACAATATTCACTGATGGTCTTCTGGATGTCTTTTGATTCTTGTTTTTTCATCTTGAATAGTTTATAGAATAGGAGAGCTTGGCACCGATAACTGAAACAAAAATCAATCAATAAAAGTAATATGTACTTTTCTACAAGTGAATTACCATAAAACGGCAAGTTTATTGTGCACTGGAGACATGTTTACTTGATTCCTGAAGTTTGATGAAATATATCTGAAAGAAAAAAGATATATGAAAATAAATCACTTTCACTGTTAGGAATCACGCGTTAAAATGTAAGACCTCGTTAGTCCTTAGCTCGCACAAGTGTCGACTTTTGAGAGTTGTCGTTCGTAGGGGACGCCACATGGTTAACGGAAAAACATATTTCAACATATATTTCAAACATACAGTGTGACCCATTTTTAATGGAAACACCCCCCTAAAATTTGAAGTTGTAAACCGATTTTAATAATTTTTTTTGAAACGTCAAGTACTAAAAGGTCTACCTTGCGACAAAATTTGAAATGTTTATTAAAGTTTCATGGCATACTACGATATTTTTTCTTAGTCGAAAATCGGGATTTTTTATTAGCGATTTTTTTATTGAAAAAATCACTACGCCACTGGATTCAGAGTGCCTCTTAAACAGCTGTGACCAAAATTTCATGAAAAAATATTCATTATTAACAAAGTTATGACAACTCAAAAATTCGAAAACTCACACAGCTAACAGTTAAAAAAACACCCTATATCAACAGATATAGCCATGAGAATATTTTTTTTATGATTTCAACAATAAAGTGCCGCCAGATGAAAAAAAAAACAAATAGCGTAAATATTTTTAATGAAAATAACGGAATTACATTCAAGTTTTCACGCAAATTAACTGAAACTAAGACCTAATATTTCAATTTAAATCTTAGATGCCATGGAAATGATATTACAGTTTGACACTTGTGAAAGATTTAAAGTTTACTATTGACAACAATATTCACCTTACATTTCTTCGAATTATTTTGTGTCATGGCTGCAAGATTGAGCGTAAGAGAGAAAATTGAAATTGTACGCCTTTCGGGAGATGACGTTAGAAGTGCTAGAGAAGTTTGTAGAGTATTTAATGAGAAACATCCAGATCGTCCTCGTATTAGCTGCGGTACGGTAAATAAAATAAATAAAATATTCAATGAAACTGGTGCAGTATCAAAAATGATGTTAAAAAGTAATCCTGTACAAAGACGAAACAGGAATGACAGGAATGATCAAATCATTTTAGATTGTTTCGCAAATAATCCTAATGCCAGTATAAGGAATGCCACTTTAGATTTGAATATTTCACGAGAAACTATTCGGAGATGTCTTAAGGTGAAGAATATTAAACCTTTCAAGCCAAAATTTTTACACACACTTCAAGAAGGCGACGAAGCAAGACGCCTGGAATATTGTTTATGGGCCCAAGGGGAATATTTAAACAATAGAAATTTCCTAAAAAATATTTTATATGCCGACGAAGCCACTTTCACTACAAATGGAGTAGTGTCATCATAGAATTGTCACTATTGGGCAGCGAATAATCCTAACTGGGTAATAAACTGTAAAAGCCAGTATTCCCAAAAAATCAACGTCTGGTGTGGGATATTGAACGGATTATTGGTACTTTCTTTTTTGAGGAAAACATTAATGGGCAGAGGTTTCTAGAATTTTCAAACAGAGTTTTGGGATGCTATTCACGAGATGTCATAACTTTGTTAATAATGAATATTTTTTCATGAAATTTTGGTCACACCTATTTAGAGGCACTCTGAATCCAGTGGCGTAGTGATTTTTTCAATAAAAAAAATCGCTAATAAAAAAATCCCGATTTTCGACTAAGAAAAAATATCGTAGTATGCCCTGAAACTTTAATAAACATTTCAAATTTTGTCCCAAGGTAGACCTTTTAGTACTTGAAATTAAAAAAAAAATATTAAAATCGATTTACAACTTCAAATTTAAGGAGGGTGTTTCCATTAAAAATGGGTCACACTGTATAATCGATTTCATATTTATTATCAAAAATGATCAGAAGTGATTGACTATTTTCATAGGATTATTTTTTCAATGATCATCAGAACAATGTGCAAAAGAAAGTCTCCTATTGAAAAAAATTATTCCTTTGTTAGGTTGAAAAATGTCCTTTTGTGGAGATATGGAAATCTTCTATTTTGGGCCATTTATGAGACCCCCAATAAAATTGATGAAATAAATAGAAATCACAGAATGGAAATAACTATTTGTGAGAAACCAATATACATAACTATTTAACCACCAGAGATATATGGAAAAAGGAATCATAAAAATGCTAACTCAACTGAATCTGTGGATTACTCCATAAACCTCACTAATAAATGTGCTATTATTGAAAATGTAGGTCACATTAAATTTTATTAATGTCAGACATGTCCTCTGAAAAATAATGGTAGTTTTTGTGTGAAAATAGTAATTTGATCACTGTTATCAATGTAGGTCAGGTCGTTAATATGTAAAAGAGAGAGAATCAAACCCAAAACTGACCCTTGTAGCACACCACGCTCAATTACTAGCTCTTGGGACTTGAACCCCTTCAATGACACAATAGAGCGACGTTCAGATAAGTACGAACTGAACCAGGACAGTACAGCATCTCTAAATCCATAAACTTCGAGTTTATGCAGTAAAATGACTCGTTGTGAAATTTTTTTGGACTATCTCCAGTACCCGAAGAAAAAAAAATGTTTCGGTAAACAAAACTTTTCAAAATGGAATGTTACCTAATAGTTACATGAAAATAACTCACTTTATTAAGGAGAGTGTATCTTTATACATGGTGAAGGCAGCTTTTTCGGTAACTCGTTCATGTTCCATAGCATTGCCGGTCAACAAAAAGAACAGTACGGCTTCCAGGTACAACATGATCTGTTTTATGGTGTCAGTCTCTTTATCTGCCAAGCGTTTCAACCTTTTTGCGTCACTCAGGTACTGGTTCTGATCCCTGTAAATATATTGGTTAACAACTGACTAGTTACGATAACGGCTAACATCAAATTTACCTTTCTTCATATTCTGATGGTTGGTAGGGGGGCTCAAAGTATGAATGATACTCTCTACCGGAACTTGGCCGGCTGGAAGTGGGAGGAGGATCACTGGGAGGGACTGTTACAGTTTTGTTTGCCTCCCGCTCGTGATTCGTTGGTGGAGCATTGGTTAAATTGAGATTTTCACCGCTATGAGATCTTTGTACATGTTCAGTATCACTTTTTAGCTTTTTGAGTTTTGGAGTATCTTTCTGCTTTTCTTTGCTGTGATGCTCCCTTTTCTTGCTGCTGCTGCTATGATGCTCTCTTTTTTTGCTGCTGTGAGATTTGCTGCTGTGTGATTTGCTGCTGTGAGATAAGCTACTGCTCACAGTTGATCTATGAGATAAGCTACTGCTCACGGTCGATCTGTGAGACAAGCTACTGCTCACAGTTGATAGAGAGGAAATGGAGCTTGAGCTATTTCTCCTTTTCCTCTTTGACTTGTGCTTACGGTCATCTTGGTTCTCAGGTTGGGATTTTGATTTTATATCACTAGAGCTTTTTTCTACTGCCGCTTTGGGTTTGGCGTCACCTCCACTGCTTTTCTCACTTTTCACCTTTACCTTCTGTTTGGTGTCAAGTAAATATGGTCGGGTAGCTTCAATATGTTTTCTAAGAACCGGTATACTTTTCACTTTCAATTTACCCATGTCAAGATTAATCTGAAGTTTAAATTTATCTGAATTGTGATTATTATCGTTAATTTCAGTCTTTATTGGTTTGATTGGTTCGGACCGTTCAATGGGTGACGAAGGCCGCTTCACAGGCGTGGCATGACGACTGCCTCGTCCGGAAGATTTCCTTTTAGTGCTCGGTTCATTGTGCTTTTCCGGTGATGTTGGTCTACTTCTAGCAGGTTCTGGACTCTTGCACTCAGTCAACCGCTCCTTGTAATTTTCTGATGATGGAGGACGACTAACGGGTGATCCCGGACCACTCTCCATCCCAGATCTCGTCCTTTTTCTTTCAGAGTGCCCTCCTGGTGCTGGTGGACAAGATTCAGGTGATGCAGAACAAGTAACTAAAGCAGGACTGGTCTTTTTAACTTCTTTTATTGGAACTGGTGCTGAAGTTGCAGTTGGCATAGCCTCGTCTTCCACAGAGGAGCTTCCCCTTTCATAGGTTCCATCCACTATGATGACATTGACACCAGCTTTACCTGCAACAATTAAAAATAAACTCAAATACGATATTCAATATTTGAGACATATAATTCCATCTTCATTTCAATTCATAACTCTACTTTTGAGGAATTGAAATTATTTTCTGGGAGAAGCATATGATGAACCTCATTTCTAGTGATTAACAGTCACCAAACTGAATTCTCTTATCCATATAAATCTGGAAAGATCACCACGATAAAGGGATTTGAAAAGATTTACCACTCTAACAGTACCAAAACCTACTGAGTCCTTTGTACATAACCCTAATTCAACTAGCGTCTTGGGGGAGATTCTTGAAGTCCAAGGGAACTAGGTATTATTCCTCCAAGGATACCTTTTATAAAAAAACTTGTTATTGGCTTCTTTCAAGTATGTCAAACAACTTTTTTTTCTGGAAAAATCTTATATGATTGAAACCTCAGTGTTGTTTTGTATTTAATTAATTCCTTTGTGATCCAGTACTCAGTTTACTTCTTTTGCATGCTTGATTCCCTCAAAAGGAAAACACCAGTAGTCTGAACTGAACACAATATGAGTCGGAATGGATATTGGACTAGAGATAGAGTTAAAGTAAAGAGTTTGACTTGTAAAAACAAACGAAAATGAGTCTTTGGCAGGTCTGCACATCAAAGGCATAGTTGTGGGCCCTCATAGTTCTACTTGTCATTCTGTAAATCGAGCTGGAGGATGGTGAAATCTCAGAGGAACACTATCCATGAAAGAATGGTTGAAAGAGGAAAAGATTTTCCCTGGTGATGCTCAACATTGTATACACCTTATACAACAAATTTGAAGTTGTTGAGTGAAACAACTTCTGGATGTTTCTACGATGCCACTTTGGTTATTTAATAAAGTATAGATGGCTCTTTGAGATATTTCTGAGCACTAGCCTCCATAGTTTGAAAAGTGAAAGGCCCGTTGTCTCCCAAATGAACTCTCTCAGTCGTTTTGAATTCATCAGTATATCCATCACGGCACATTCGAGTATTGAAAAATGATCTCAACCAATTATAAACCAATTTATAAGTGTACAATTGACCAACTCAAGGAAACTTTCCTTTCATTTCTGACCATTTCACTTGACTTAATAACATAATTTCTAACTGAGATGGACCGACACAAAAGATTATCAATATGATATCTAAATACAACGAAAATGAAGTAACAATATCAAGAAAGAGGAACAGTAATATGATGGTCGACTTTGAAAACAAAAAGAACAAGTGTGGTGACTCAAAACTTTGTTAGACTACAACAAATCGAAGATCTAATTCCTACTAAGATCTGCAACTGTTCATAATAATTTTTATGAATGTTTTTATTAGTAATTAAAGGAATATAATGGCAAAAGACAGAGTGTGCACTGCCTTGTTTTGTAACAAAAAAGCTGTGCTCTGAAACCCAACCTAAAAATCTAATCTAAATAAAAAATAAGAAGTTATGGTACTATGGGTGTGGAAAGTTTCTTTGATATCATTAATTAACAACCTAATTTTTTTATTATTAAAATTGTAAGACAATTCTGAAAAACAAAGTTATAGGTAATTTTACAATGATGACGAGTCATACCTTTTCCTCCTTTGCCTCCTTTCCCGCCGCCCTTTCCACCCCCTTTCCCTCCTTCAGAGTCTCTCTTAGGGGTAAACAGTTTCCGGAGTGTATCACTCTTTTTTTTATCAGCGATACTCTTATTTTCATCCACTTTAATGGCAGAGTCTATCTTGGCGGGAGTTTTCTTCGAAACCATGTTAATATCACTGTCTGAATCACTTAGCCTTTTCAAACATTCCTCGGAAGACGCGCGCGCACTGAACTTCGGTTTAGAGAGGGATTTTTTTGCGTTAGTGTCGCTATCACTGCTCGAATCAGATGACGGAACGAATACTGCTGATTTGGGCTCCGTGTGCTTCTTGGAAGCGGACAGCCTACTTTTTCTTCTCGGAGGAGAAGTCGCCTCCTTGATCTTAGTGGTTTCCGACACTTTTTTGTCATCTTTGAAGTGGCTCTTAACCATTGCTTTATTCTCTTGGCCCCATTCATCATCAGACTCTTTCTTTGACCGTTTACGGTCATCCTTCAGCTTGTGCGGTTTTTTCTGGGTTTCGTGCTTGGGCGTTTCTTTTTCCGACTCGTGCCTGCCGCTGCTCGTGCTGAACTTCCTTGGCTTCGAGCTCGGCCTATCCGAGTCTGAACTGTTTGTTGAAGCCGCCTTGGATTTGGTGCGCCTTCGCCGGGGTGCTGGTTTCGGGCACTTTTCCGGTACCTCTTCGTCGGAGGTACTCACCGAGCGCGGTCTGTGCTGCTGCTTCGGGGGCCGGCCCCTCTTGGCTTTCTTGATGCCAGCGTCCGAAGACTCGCTTAAAGAACATCTGGATTTGTTTAACTTTGGTCGGCCGCGTTTTTTCACTTCCTTCTCCTCCTGCCCGGCAGGAGTTCTGATTTTCTTAGGCCTACCGCGACCGGGTTTGGATATTTTTTCGGGAGTCGCGATCGGTAGCGGAGATTTCGGTTTGACGGTGGGATTCGCGGGGCTGGCCGGTTTTGGAGGAGGCCGCTCGGAATCGGAGTCACTATGCGTATCTACAGACTTTGTCCTTGGGCTAGCGCGACTAACCGGCTTTTTATTGCTAGTCCTTTTGTCTTCGTCGTCGCTTTCACTATCACTAACGGGAGGTTTGGTAACTTGGGGTATGGTACGTTTTCGTTTTTTCAAACTAATGTCTCTGCTGTTGTCGTCAGACTCTGACAGGCTAGACAGCAAGGTTATCGATTTAAGAGCTGCCAGCGCTTTAGCCTCAGCCATCAGCTTATCTTCGTCGGACTCGTCTAGCGAAGTGTTCATAGCGTCGAGACTCGTTTCCACTGCTTGAGTTGAAGGCTTCACGGGAGATGTAGTAGGCTCCACAGTACTCTGGCTATTGGGTATTACGAAAGAGCCTAAATTCCATCGCAGCTTCTGTTCTTCATCTTTGGGAGAGGAGGAAATTGGATCGGGCTGAGAAGGTAACTTGGAAGCTACCGCCGTCGGGTTTTCGTCGCCCGAATCGTCGCTACTGGAATCGCTGTCTGACGCTGATTCCGAGCCGGACTCGCTGGTAGAACTAGCTATCGGAGAAGTTGGCAATGGACCCAAAGGCTCGGGAGGCCTTTCCATTTTGGAAGTGTGAATGGCAGGTGTTGCACCAAGTGGCGACAGCATTCTGAAATAATATTTAAGAATAAGTAAGAGTAGCCTCGAAATCCTAATGTACATTTGAAATTGGTGAGAACTAAAACCAACACAGCCACTACTCCTACAAACCAGAACACTCTTATCAAATCAGATTTCAGCAATCATGTAGGGTGCATATCCCAATGACGCCAACTTGGATGAAGAAACTAGCGTCAAGAAAGGTGTTGCAATTCTGTTGTGTGCATATCACATTTATAATTGGGTTACAGAAATTAGAACTTTCCATTACTAATAAAAAATGGACATAAAAGTGAAAGATCAATGATTTTTTTACTATCTTCACTATTTCAAAAAAATATGTATCTGCTGAAAGACGTGACGTCACCAGATATACGAAATGCAGAGCCGGCTAGGAAAATCCGTTAGTTTCAGACGTCTCTGTGGAGGCGTAGTCATCTATCGAAGTTGAGGAGGATAAAAAATTCTCCAAAAATTTTTTCTAGTACATGAGTATACTTATTCATCTAGAAACACACCAAACGATTGGTTTGTAACTGTTATTAAAAATAAAAAAGTAAACAAATCCTTGCAAATTGTTATGCAACGTAAATATGTAAATGAGTCGCCCTTATTTCAAATCAGTAATAAAATTTTAAATGATAATGAAGAGGGTAGAGAAAACTTCATTAATTAAATAAAAATACACTCGAATATATCGCGTCGCTTTTATTTCTCATTGCTGCAAAAATTTGATTACTTCATTGGAGTTCAAAAACGTTTTTAATCAATGAATTTCACTTGTAATGCACTGTTTGGAACATCTGTTATAGTAATGAATATTACTGGAGTTTTATCCGTTATTTTTAAAACCTTGACACGTGTTTCGATCACCAAGTGATCATCTTCAAGAGGAAGATTAAGCAGTGAAGATGATCACTAGGTGACTGAAACACGGATAAAACTCCAGTCCACCTGTGTCTGTTTTAAAATTTTCCTCGACTAAACACATTTTCATTCGAACGTTGCTTCAAGTTCGTGCTCTGTACAAAAAATGGCACATATCTCATGACGTCACGCTAGCTTTCGACAAATGCGCAGTTTTAAATCCGCGTATCTTAATAACGGTAAATGCTGTCGATTTGAAACTTTTGCAATTGTAACCTGGATGACAAACACTATTGAAATTGATGAAAATAATGCACCCAACGACCCTAATATGAATAATTTTCGCAACAAGTTGTTTTTCTAAACGTTTTTCATAAAATATTTCTGACAATTCAACTAAAAATAAACATATAATTAATCTTTGTTTCCCACATATATACGTACCTTTCTACTATCAGATTAGATGAAGGTAACGGATCTTTCTGATCATCTTCGCTCTCCTCTGATAGTTTGAGATCATCGTTTAGATCATTCACATCACTGAAAAAAAAAGAATATTATGTAGAAGGTAATATGACTAGTTCGACAGAACTAGAATTCTTGAAATTCTGATGACTAATTCTAATAATTTTTAAAACTTTTGGTAATTTTGTTTTATATGAAATTTTGCAACTCTACTATCTTCCATCATCAATTTGTACAATTTACATAAAAAAATAATATAGGGGAAATATTTTCAGAAAAAAAAAAGTTTCATTGCATAATTGAAAAATGTTGACTCGTCTGGACTCGAAATTATTACGCGCGACCTGTTCAGAACGGACGAGACATAGATTATTACGTCTCCGTTACTTCTATATATCCACATGAATCATTTTTGATGGGTGGGAGTGAGAGCACAGACGTTCACTGCAGTATTTAGTCAGTCAGAAACGGGTAAAATAGTCGGAAAAGTCCAATAAACTGAATCCCGTCACGTAAAAGAAGAAGAATGAAAATGGCACTTCGCCAAATATGCAAAATCCCAACTCGAACGAATAAAACTATTTACTATTATAGCCTTATCGTATATTGACCTGGAAGCAACTCGCTGAATATAATGAAAATTATAAAAAGCGGAAACTTTCTCGGGGATCCAAGAAGAAAAACTACGAAGTGTTCAACTGTGAGGAACCCCAAAATACAAAATCTGTTTGAGATATGTTTTTCCGTCATTCAGCTGTCCCCCCTGAGGGTGATGAGGTCTTACTTTTTAACGTGCGATTCCTAACACGGTTGCTTATTTGAAATCCCCTGGCAAGGACCACCAAGACCATTCAAAATGATACCAAGTCCAAAAAACAGGGCAAAAGCAAAAACAAACCGACAGGATTAAAATTTGCTAAAATGCATTGAATTTAGATGCCCATTTAGGACAGCCTCTTTGAGATTTTTCTTTAAAGTTGGAGCAGATAAATTTCGATACTATTATGGCATATTATTTGGCAGATGAAGTACTGAGCAAGAAAAGGATGCCTCGAAAAATGAACAACGATGGACAGAAATAAAGAATCTATCATTAATTTTCCCCAGTGATCTGTTGTGAATGTCCTCCCTTCGAACTGTTTTTAACATATGACAGTTTGTGCACCTAACCTATCTTCCTCTATATAAATAAATAACAAAACAACTGTTGTTTATGTGGCTTGTGGAGGTGGTATTGAACTATAATTTATATTTTGCCTTAATTGTTGATTTATATAGATAATTTAACTTTTTTAAAGTAGAATATCTAGGTACGTATACATTATTCCAACTTGATATAGGCGCTGTTGCCAATATGTGAATTAGAAACAAACCCCTTTAAAAATTAAAACCCAACATTTGAAACATCAAAATTGAATACTATTCGAAGTGAATTTGAAAAACTAATGAATTATACTCAACTTTATTTTGTTCAAACTTGCATTTGCTGTAATAAACCAAATTGAGGAACATTCCCCATTCCCTATAAAACAAATGCATTGATTTCGCATTTTATTGCAATATCACACGCCCTCCATATGATAAGTAAACCATTTCAGCATAGTTGGTATGCTAGAGGAGAAGAGAGTTACAAAACATAGTTTTCGATTCTCTTTGCGACGACACCTAATTGCTTGCAAAATTCAAGCTGCTGGTCAAAAATAACACCAAGACAATTTACTTCAGAGACAGAAAGAATCAATTTACTGTCAATACATACAGGGAACTCATCAAGAAGAAGTTTGGATATGAAGTAAATATTCGGTTTTCAAAAAAAGTTCTGTAAAAACGTCAACGAAGCAAAAGTTGGAACTAGCAATTTGTGGAGGTGTAAGAATAAAAGGCATATGGGAGGAAATAGAAATATTTTTCCATTTTATGCAAACAGATTCAATGAAGGTGTTGTTAATATATTGACATACAAACTTATAAACAAATTTCCGATGTACTAAGAGAAAGTTTGCCTACCAAAGAAGCTTACAAGGGAAAACTGTACTTTACTCATTCACATAAAGTACAATATTTCTCATTTCTCAATTTGATCAGGCTGAGCTGAATAAAAAATCCATACTTCTCACAAATACTCCAGAAATAATTGAATCCAATCCGCTGTAAGTGATATTCCATTTGAAAAGTAATTTATATTTGACGACGTGCCAGTTGGAAAGAATTCAACGTTTATCCGATGCAACGAAACTCTCATTTTTCTCATTAGCGAGATTCAAAAAGAACGAAAAAATAAAACAACTTTAACGCGGCTTGACTGAACGAAACATTGATAATGTATTGGAATAGCTGAAATAAGAAGCCAACTAAAACAGTCACGGTCTATTTATTGAGATCGTCTGTTAACAACTGGATAAAGGTTTTTAGAAAATAGATCCCCTTTCTATTAAGTATCGAATATTATGACGAGAGGTGGAATGACATGACGAACAATAGAAATGATGAAACTATCAAGCAATTGTCTAAGTAACCACATTCACAAATACGAATAAATGTTCATGTTCTTATGAAAAATAATATTATCCAACGAAAACTAATTTTCCACACACCAGAACACACTCTACACGCATTTTACCAATTAAGTTGGGTTCTTCGATGTAAGTGTGAATGATATTTGATTCAATTCCATTACGTTCTTCAACAAAGTTTTCCAGAACTGAAAATAACAGATCCACACAACATGGTGAACTTGAAATAATGTTAAAAAAGTACAGAAAAGAAAAGTTGTTGCAAATACAACTAGGGTTATGGCAAAGAAAAAAACTTGATGATGAATAAAAAAACAAAATGGAGAGAGAAAACAGAACTAGACGAGTTGACAAAGAAAGTGCAATAAATACAAAAATATGTGTAAATCTACATGAAAAAATAATGATCCAAATATATTCCGTTACGAAAATAATAGGGATGAAGTAAAAAAACATATTTAATATTTAGGAAAGCGTTTGGGGGATTTCAGTGATATTTGGTGAACAGTGAAAGTTTTAATTTTTTATTAAAATAATGATTTTCAATTCAAAAACTGTCGCGGGTATGACAATTGAGTTCGATATTTCCAAAGAAAAAAATTATATGCTTTCGAGTTTTTTCTGAAATGAAATTTATTTTTCAACTTTTAGTTTAATTTGTTTGGAATAAAGAAGTTTTCGTTAGTTTTTTCCTATGATACTTAGATAACTCATTATTTAGATTTCGATCTCACTTCAGTTTTTAATTTATTTAGTCACTGACACTCGATAAGCTGCACGTTTTTCGATACAAAAACAATTCTTCAATTCAACAGTGGCATGCTATCTCGAATTTTTTGTAACATATATTCAATATCAATCCTAACTAGATTCTGTTGAAAAATATCAAAAAGAAATATTACTTACGAAACGCGTTCAGACCATAAAAACGTTTTTTTTTTCGTGTAATTCAATGTTCATATGAAAGTAGTTGTTGTTTTCTTCCAGTTTGTGTTCCAGTGTGTGTTACTGTGTGTGAAGTTATGAATTTGCGAAATAATGTTGCTTGGCACACCAAAGATGTATTGTTTACTCAAATGGTGAATTTCTACGTGCACCAATCATTGGGGTATGCGAATCATTTTGAATAAAACAATCCGCGTGTTCACTGCAATCATTTACCTTTCATTTCGTGTGCAATTTTATAGTCGCCCCGTACTGATGATCCTTTGAACACCCTTTAATCGATGCCCAACACACACGAGCAAGCCACCAAAATTTTAATAAGCGAATTCTGTAGATAACACATGCTACAATCAAGATTCATTCGCCAGACAAAACAGTGGATCGCAGAGGTCATTCGGGAATGTCCTCTGGTTTAATTGATCCGCCATAAATTTCCAAACGGAATCTACCAGTGATCCAGCAGGCATGTGGATGTCGCAGCGAATCTAGAATCTACTAGCTGCAGGAGCACATAGACAGCGTAAGCTATTTTTCCATAAGGATTTATCTCACAGTGGTGTTCATTTTCACGAATTCGGTTGATCACTTTATCACATCGTGGATGAAAACGAACCAGTGTCGAAAAAAAGCCACCATGGCGTATCTATAGTATTAGATTATTGGTGAAGTCTAGGATGAAGCGTTTTTTAAAAAAAACTTTATGTGAGTTTTTCACTAAACAGTTTTACAAAAACGCAACACGTGTTTTGCCATACAATGGCTTCTTCATACTAATGAGTGATTTTTTTGCTGGTATCTTTTTGGCAACACTATTTTTGACAAATTACGCGTTAATCGTGTCTTGTGTCATTGTCAAACTTGTTCAGTTTGATCTATAATTTAACCATGAATCGACTTACGAATGAACAAAGCTTGCAAATTATTGAATTTTATTATCAAAATTCATGCTCGGTGAAGAAAGTGCATCGTGCACTTCTTCCAATTTATAGGCAGTTTCGTCGGCCTACTGAGGGAGCTATTCGAAAGCTTGTGACTGAATTTCGAACCCAGTTTACATTATTGGACATTAAACCACCAACACGCATACGTAGAGTGAGGACCGAAGAAAATATTGCGGCTGTATTTGCCAGTGTTCGTGATGACAGTGAAATGTCGATTCGCCGTCGTTCGCAACAATTGGGCCTCTGTTACTCCACTACGTGGAAAATTTTTTCCTTGTGGGGTCATGTTAAGACTCATGTCTATGAGGATAAACCAGAAATGACTGACGCTCTGGAAGCCAAAATTGAAGCATCTATACGTGAAATACCGGTCGATATGTTAGAGAGTGTGCCAAAATTGGACCTTGCACACGGGCCATCTAAAGCGGAGCCACGGACAACGTTTGCATGAAATCATCTTCAAACATTAAATTATATTGATCGTTCTATCGATTTCAATAAAGATTTCATCAATTTTTTCAATTTTTTTGTGTTGTTTTGAAAATCAAATCCTATACCTCTTAAAAAATACCCCGTTAAACAGTTGCAACTATGAACATATGTTCTAGACAAGTGTGGCAACATAAAAAATATAAAAGGAGCTAATCTTATATACGTAGACCGCTAAATTTGAACA